CTTTGAGAACTGCAGTACACAGTTGCTATTGTGCTAGCTCAGCAGGGCTAACTGTTCGGATCTATGCTATGGTCTGAATGGGTCCCCCGAGGTAGAGCCTTTAGGGGGTAATGAAGCCATAGGGTGGAGCCCTCATGAATGTGATTGGCTACCTTGTAAGAGGTGGAATGGAGCACCCTTCTGCCCCTCTGCCACATGAGGGCGCAGCAAGAGGCACCATCTTGGAAGCAGAGTGCAGCCCCCACCAGACACCAAATCTGCTGGCGCCTTGATCTTAGACTTTCCAGCTTACGGAATAGTGAGAAAACTTCTGTTCTTTCTGTCTCAGGTATTTTGTTACAGCAGCAAGAACAGACTAAGACCCCAAAGCTGAACTGTGAACCCTCTTAGATGTCTTCCTGGTGTATATTTCAGGAATACCGCTCTAATAAGCCCAACTGTTCTTATTTTCAGAGTACACATGGATTTCCAAAACACTTGACACATGTCTGGAAGAAGAAGAAAAATCAGAACAGAGAGAAATGGGTTTGTATCAACATCACCAGGTGCTGGAGTGTGATATGTGACAGGAGACCTCTTTGACTCCCTTAGCCTCTAAGTTACATCATTCTGTCTATACCACTTTCTTCCACTGTTTATGGTATTTGCTGTATATCATGGAGAATGTCTTCTGTTTCGTGTTTTAATGGGAGATCCATAGACAAGACCGACCCCATTATTTCCAAGAATAAAGTACTGATCACTATGAGTGGGAATGACTGATTTGAGCTGACCCTGTGGACAGTCTGTGTCTAGAGTAGGGTTTTCCTGCTTGAGCAATACTAACATTTTGGGCTGGCCTCTGCCCACCAGCTGCTAGGAAGACCTCCCCTGGTTGTGAGCCTTGGAAATGTCTCCAGACATTGTCAAATGTACCCTGGAGGGAAAGTCACCCATGGTTGAGAACTACTTGTTTGGACAGTTTCTTAAAAATCAGTCTGGTGGTAGTTTAATTAAGTGACTTGCCATCAAACGTTTGTACCCTTATCACATGGCAGAACAGGCTGGGCATGGTGGCACGAGCCTGTAGTCCCAGCTACTCTGGGAGGCTGAGGTGGGAAGATCACTTCAGTCCAGGAGTTCTAGGCTACAGTGTGCCATGATGGTGCCTGTGAATAGCCACCGCACTCCAGCCTGGGCAACAGAGCAGGATCTTGTTCCTTAAAAACAAAAACAACTTTGAAAATAATATGGCAGAACAGGGCTGAGAAAACCAGTGAAACACAGACCCATGAGTGAAACACAGACCACTGCCTGTTCTTGTAAATTTTTATTGGAACATAGCCATACTCATTTGTCTACACATTGTCTGTGACTGCTTTCGGCCTGTGATGACAGTTTAGTAATAGAGACCCCGTAGCCCACAAAGCCTAAGATATTTACTATATGGCCTTCTACAAATTTTATTTTTGCCTCTTATTATGATGAAGAAATGTATCCCACTATAATGATGCTTATGTTATCTCCCAGTAGTAGACATAAACAAAAACAGGATAAAGGACAGTGAATTCATTTTTGTTTGTTAGGTGGGGTCTTGCTAAGTTGCCCAGGCTGGTCTCGATCTTCTGGCCTCAAGGACTTCTCCTGCCTTGGCCTCCTGAGTAGCTGGGATTATGGGTATGAGTCATCATACCCAGCTCAGAATGCATAAATTCTGATTGAGTTACAGAAGCATGTTAAGGCAGGAAGACTGGAGGCATGGAGTCTGGTGTGTTCCCTGGCTCATGCTGCCATGACAAAATACCACTGGGTACCGACGGCCTGGAGGTGCTGTTATTGTTAGTCTCTTCTGAGGCCTCACTCCTTGGCCTCCAGACGCCTGCCTTCTCACTGTGTCCTTGTAAGGATGTCGGTTCTATTGTTCCCTCCCTTACAGCCTCACTTAATCTTAATTCCTTAAAGCCCTAACTCCAATCACATATAGTCACATTGGGGGTTAGGGCTTCAGTGGAAATTTTTAAAGGATATAGTTCACTTCATAGTATTTAATTTAGAGGTTATCTGACTTTTCTCTCTAGATCAGTGGTCCCCAACCTTTTGACACCAGGGACTGGTTTCATGGAAGACAGTGTCTCTACAGACGGGGGTAGGCGGAGCTCAGGCGGTGATGGGGAGCGGCTGTAAATACTGATGAAGCTTTGCTTGCTCACCTCCTGCTCTGCAGCCCTGTTCCTAACAGGCTGCAGACTGATACTGGTCCATGGCCCTGGGGGTTGGGGACTGTAGCTCTAGATAAACTAGCATGTTCTATTTCTTGATACATAATAGAAGCTTGAGGCCAGGCGCAGTGGCTCATGCCTGCAATCCCAGCACTGTGGGAGGCTGAGGCAGGAGGATGGCTTGAGCTCAGGAGTTTGAGACCAGCCTCAGTAAGAATGAGACCCTGTCTCTACTAAAAATGGAAAGAAATTAGCTGGGCAACTAAAAATAGAAAAATTAGGCCGGGTGTGGTGGCTCACGCCTGTAATCCTAGCTCTCTGGGAGGCCGAGTCAGGCGGATTGGTTGAGCTCAGGAGTTCGAGACCAGCCTGAGCAAGAGCGAGACCCC